AACAGTATTTCTTTATTATTATTTTGTCCCAAAAACTGATAACTTAATTCTATTTATTTAGTCTTGATTGTTTTTTTTACTTAAAAATAAATTATTTTATATAATATAATAAAAAAATTAATAATTTTTTTTCTTTGATTTTGGTGTTTCTCATAAAGAATAATATTTATGATTTTTTTAATAAATTAATATATTAACATAGTTATCATAAATTAGAAAGAGAGGTACATAATTTTTCTTGGTTTGTTTAATATGATACGTAATTATTTTTTATTTTAGATAAAAAATTAATTATTTTTATACAAAAAAACAAGGTTATATTAGTTTTTTCTTTTAATACATTAAATTTTAATAAATGATTCTATGAAATTTGAATCTGATACCTTTTCATTATTCTTTTTTTATTAATAAAATGAAGAACTAAATGTATTATAGAACTTTTTTGTATATTAATTTTTGATAATATTGTTAGTTTCTTTAAGTTAAATAAAAAAAGGTATTTGTTAACTTTATTATTTGATGAAGGAATTGTTTTAAATTGAATTAGTTTTAATATTTCGAAGCTACATACAAAATATAAAAAAAAGAACGAATTTATTATTTATTTTATTTCATAGAAGATTTGATTTCATATTTTTTAAGTAAATCATTTGGAAATTATTTATAAAACAAATAATCTGTTGAGATAAACTTTGTTTTTGTTATGATGAAATGAATAATTGTTTCAATGAAAACTCAGATGAAAAGTACGTCATCACCAAAATGTAATTGTCCTTTTTATTTAACCCTCAAAAAGTAAAATTTCATCAGAATTGATAAGTAAATAGTAAATATATATATATATAATAATAATAATCATTAAATAAGAATTATAAAAGAAGGGAATGGTTTATTTAATGAGTAATTATAATAAATGAAAATTAAACAAAATATATAAAGGAAATATAGTTTATGTTTTTTGAATAAAATTATGATTTCATAGAATTTGGTAACAGGCAATTATTTTAAAGATTTTTGGTGGTAAGAAATGTTTGAATAATAAATGAAATCAAACAAAAATCAAAGGGGATAAATAAAAGACAAAATCATCCAAATGGTTCTTTTCTTTTTTAAAAATAAAAAATGACGAATTAAAAGAATAAAAATCAGACAAAAATTATAGGAGTTAACCAAAAAAAGAATAAATCAAGCCTGATTCTAATCTCTATTTAAGAGTGTTCCATAATTATCTTATTTTAGAATGGAAAGCGAAAGATAAACAACCCCCTTTCTATTTATACAAATTTTTATTATATTTTTTAGTCTTTTTAGAAAAAAATTCAAGTCATCAATACAGTTTCATTCTTTATAAAAATTTAATATAAAAAGTGATTAAGGTAGAATGTTCTTTAATGGGGGTATTTAATGACTTAGTTCAGTTCAGTTTATTCAATTACTTATGGATTCAAATAGATACTTCAATTTACCAGAACCAGACACTCAAGAATTTGTTGATAAAGTAATTTTCATTTATAGGTTCCAAAAAGAAACATTACAAAGACTTGATTCTAAAGATAATAGTATTTATACAAGAGTAGAGAATTCTCCTATTATGTCAGATAAAGATAATGAGATGATCCCTTATATTTATTCAACAGAAATTAAACCACAAAAAACAAAACGTTATTGGACTAAAGAGGAATGTCTAGCTTTTGAAAAAATAATTAAATTTTTAAATATTAATTGTGGACAAGCTCTTGACTTTCGTTTAATCTCTTTGTATGTTAAGACAAGAACTCCTACTCAAGTTAGAAGTCATGCTCAAAAGTATTTTTTAAAAGAAGTTTGTTATTTTATTATTATAATAAATCTTTATTTATTGATTTTTTTAGAGAGAAAATAAATGTGTTTTAACACCACAAGACATTATAGAACTTAGTACCCTTATTAAGAACTATAAATTAATGAATAAACATGGAAATCAGTATCATCTTCTTGTAAAATAATTAACTACTTTTTATCTTGTTAATTAATAACACAAAAAAAATTTGAATGTATCAACAACAAAAATCTCCTTTTTCTATTTTTTTATTTCTTCATTTATT